GGAGCCTTCTTGCCTGAGCTTTGAGCTGAACTGCCCCAGGAGGGGACAGCTGAAGCAGGAAGCTTGGTGGTCCACAAATCTCGGCCCCTGGGCTTGCCAGCTGGACGACCTTGAGTGTGTGGCCTTGCTTCTGTCATCTGTAGAATGGTGCCCACGACACAGGGGGTTGAAAGAATCATGGGGTATCATTTACGATGTGCTTGTTAGCACAGTGCTTGGGCTATATCTCTCCCTCCGAGGAAAGACAGTTTCTCCTTCACACACAGACACCATATGTGGTCATTCATAGTAAGACTATCTGGCCATCTATTCTTCTCTTGGGTGAAAAAATGCACATTTTGCTTAGAAACCACATGCCTTCGCACGTTTCAGCGGAGTAGATGTGAAAGAGACCAGGAACAAAGAGTAAATTCTCTTTTAGGACGCTTGGGTGGACAAACAGAAAGCTAGGGAAAATGGCAATGTAAACAGGAGACAGCTACTTCTCTCTATATAAAAAGCACTAACAAATCAATAAGAAGAAAATATTTTTTTAAAAGTTCGGTATAAAAATGGGCAGAGGAGATGACCGGACACGTCATAGGAAAGTCAATGAAAGGGGTAATATAAATAGACATTCTTCTTTACTCATAACTGAAGGAATGCAAGTATAAATAACCAGGCATTGCCACTGGCAAGATTTTTAAAGAACAGCGATGATGAAGGTTGGCAAGGATGTGGGGAACAGGGTCTCGTAGCCCATCCATAGAGGTTGTTGACTGTGCAAGCCATTAGAAAGGAAAGCTCTGGGGAGAATTTACACACATATTTTGCTGCAGCAATTTCATGACTAGGGATTTACACCCAAATCTGGGGAGGCTGGGGGCAGGGAACAGTGTTCTAAGCAGAGGAACAGGCTGTGGTGTAAAAGGGCATGGCCTGAAGGACGGGCTGACAGAGTGTTTCTGTATCCTGGCGGAAGCTGGTGATACCTTCTCTGAGGAGGAAGAAAGCTTGTCTGTGAAGTGTGCGGGGAGGAGGCTCACACAGGGATCAGGAGCACTGACAGGGGCTCGAAGGAGAAGGCACGGGTATGATCACAGCTGAGCTGGACAGAGGCTCTGGCTGGGACTGAGTGTCCCTGGAGGGTGAGGCTATCATCAGTCCCAACTCACTAATGGGGACATAGGTGACAGGGCCGGAAGGTGACAAAGCCAGGATGGGACCCAGGTCTGTTCAGTTCCTAAGATGCTGCTCTCAACTCCGAAGCACACAAGACGTGTTAAACTCAGCCAAGACCAACTAGCCTCCCAGTGCGCAGGTGGAGGTCCTGGGGCACTAGTCCTGCCTCCCCAGTGAACCAAAGCCAGCCACTTGAACCCCTGGTGGCCCTTCGCATGGGGAGGTCTGACGTTCTCTGGGACATCTGTCCACCATGACCCTTGCGCTCCCCACTCTGGGTCGGGGGCTGGCTTTGTGCAATAAGCTTCTGAAAGCCATTCTGGTTTGAGGATCAGTCACACTGCCCACCACCCAGCTACAACCCATGGCCACCTCTGGCGCCAGCTTCAGAATTCAGTTCCTTCCCCGGATTACCCCCAGCTCAGCCTGAGCTGCCCTCAAGTTCAAACTGAACTCAGTGGCCTCTTTTTGCATTGGATTCTCTTTAGTTAATTGATTGATTAATTTACTTGGCTGCACCAGGTCTTTTATTTTATTTTTTGCCTTTTTAAATTTTTACTTTGCATTGGGGTAGAGCCTATTAACAATGTTGTGATAGTTTCAGATGAACAGCGAAGGGACTCAGCTATACTGTATCTTGGAAATCTTAACAGGGGCTCATTTTGGCTTTCGGCTTCCATGAACATAGTGAGCATCCAATACATTTCCCAAACAGTTCTTCACACATAGCTTCTTACTAGTTCATCATCTAGACGGTTTGGAGACCAGCGAAGATCTTCTGTTTGTCTTGAACTGGTTATTTAGACTTTGGAGATTCTAGCATCAGTCAGAATACAAGTGAAACAGCTGGCCACCATGATCCAAGTGGTGAGAGAAAGTTTTCATTCAAAAATTTTTTTCTGTTTTAAGTAATGGATACAATTACCAATCTCCTTTCACCTTTGATTTTTCGGACCCATCTACTAAGTTAATTTTCTCCCCAGCTTTCACTCTCAGTTTTGAAACAGAGCCCCATATCCACAAGTAATTTATTATGGAATAGCCTGTGATTTTGTCCTAGTTAATCTGTCTCTAACCGATAACTTGCCATTGCAAAGTATATGGCTAGAGATAAAAGCAGGGCTGAAATTAGAAAAAAAGAAATACAAATGAGAGGGGAAAAAAAGAAGCTGTGGTTTTTCATTTTCCCCCTCAAGCATAAATTGTTGAGTAAGGAGATTTTTAAGAGCCAGAAATTGCTGAGGAGTGAACCAAAGCTGGAAGCCACTGCACTGGCACAAGACTCATCTGGCGATGAAGGGTTTTGATGAGGGTCTGCTATAGCCGGTAACTAGCCACCCTCACCCACAGCCAGCTCCTGTCATCCCCAGGGAGGACATTTTCAGAGACCAGGGGAGAGAAGACAAGTGGGAAAAATCAACGTCTAGATTAGAAGCTACTTCGACTGTGTTGTTTTTCTTGAGGTCCCACTGTGCCTTTGATTTCCTGATTGCTCAGAGCAAGAATAACAAAATCCATCTAACCTGGTGATTTTTGACAGATTCATCTGAAAGTTGAATTTGATCTGCCCACACCAGTGGGTCTCAGCCAGGGACAATGATGGCCCCCGGGGGACATCCAGTAGCTTCTGGGGACGTTTGTGGTTGTCATAGCTGGGAGCTGTTGCTACTGGTGTGTGGTGGGTGGAGGGCAAACATGCTGTTCCATGTCCTCCAGGGCATGGGATGGCCCCCAGCAGAAAAGGGTCTGGATCACAGTGTCAACAGTGCTGAGGTTGAGAAACCCTGGTGGGGTGTATATGTGTGTGTGTGTGTGTGTGTGTGTGTGAGTGTGTGTGTATGAAGGTGCATTCCCGAGGTGGGGCCGTTGGTGTTCCTATAGTAAAGTTTCTTGAACCTGGAGACATGAAGTCCAGGCTTGCCTCCGCTCAGGTACCTCAATTATCTAAGCATCTGATGGATTAAAAGGGTTCTGCTTCCTTTCACTAAAGCACAAGGAACTTGTTGCCTGGTGATGTTGCCAGTGGTGAGAAGGACTTTGGGAAAAGAGTTAAGTGGAAAATGGGGCCTGGCTCAGAGTGAGGAGCTGTGAAGGCCGCCTGCATGGGTCTGGCATCCCAGGGTTGAGACCCTGGGTCTCCACCGCAGCCTCTGCAGCTGCCTTTTCTGTACACCCAGGCCTCCGGGTCCTCTTGGCTTCTCTCCTGTGGAATCTGTCTGACCTGAGGTGGCGAGAGGTCACCAGGGGGCGAAGCAGCAGGACTCCAGAGAGCCAGGAGCGAGGCTGCACTGGCAGTGATCTTACTGGCATGACAGGAGCACGGGGCCTGCAAGGACAACGGCCCTGTGCTGTGACCAAGGCTGCAGGTTTCTGGGGAAAGGTGCCCTACTGTGCTGGCCTGTCTTATCCCCACAGGATGGAACTACCCGGGAGGAGGTGAGGAGAGGTGAAGACACAGCTTCCTCCTTCTCCCCCTCCCAGCTCCGCACCCGCAGGGGGAGCACACAGACTCTGCCCAGCCGTCCCCTCCGTGCCCCCTTCCTTCCACTCTTACTTTCCTGGCCTGTTTTTGTGCCCGGGGAGAACTCCTTGGCCATGGACAGCTGTGCAACCTCTAGCCCCAGCCCTGAGGCAAACGTCCCCTTTTGGTGGATACATCTGCAGCTTTTCAAACTGCCTACACATCCTCCCTTGACCTTCCTTCAGACTTGGCTCATCTCTTCTTCAGATATCTAGCTGAGAAATTCGGGGCTGAATGAAGAGCTGCAGAGAGACCTGACTTTGCTTCTTGCCTTTAAGTGGAGAAAAGCGTGCTCAGCGATAACTGGGCAGCATGGCTTCCTGCAGGACGGAGGAAGGAGGCTTCAGGCAGGAGGCTTCCTGCCTCGGGCCTGGGCAGTATGTTAGTCGCTTCTCTTGCTCTCCTTCTTGTAACCCTCACAATAACCCTAGACAGAGGTGAAGGTCTGGTAAGCCCATTTGACAGATGAGAAAGTTGAGGCTAAGAGAGCTGATGGACATGCCTGTCCAAGTTCACACAGGTTGATTGATATGAAGTGGATCTGGACTTCTGAGTTAAGTGATCTGACTCCAGGGGCAGAATTCTTAATCCTTCACAAGGTGAGGGTGCTTGGGGGTGAGCAGCACACTGTGGTTATTATTGTCATTTTTGCCAATGGTGGTGCACCACGGTCAGCGGGCATTACAGAATTTTGATCTTCCTACCCCCTAGGAAGAGGCAGCCGGAGAGCAGTTAGTTCTGGAGACGACACTATCCCCTTTATGGGGGTCCAGTTCCCTGCCCCCCTACCCCAAGCCTGCTGGGCACCAGAATTTGAGGGGTGGGGTGAGGGTCACTGTGCCCTCCCCTCACTTCTTCTGTAGCTCTGCTGTAGGACACCCGCTCTGAGTCCCAGCCCCTCTAGGATTCAGTGGGCAAGACCAGATTCTGCAGCACAGGTCTGAGTGACGTGGAGCTTGTACCTTGCCGAGGGGGTCCCAGTGGGCTCGGGATCCTGAAAGTTTTTGGAGGTCCCAGCCACCCCGCGGCCTGGCACCAGGAATCGCTCGAGTGCCTGGAGGTCAGGCTGCGGCGGGCACTGAGCACAGAGGGGCGCGCACGTGGTTCCGCCTGGCTTCCCAGCAGTGTCTGGGAGAAGGCTGGAGGTGCGGCAGGTGCCCGGCCAGGTGAGGCTGGAGAAGAGCGCGCAAGGCGCAGAACGGCCGGCCTGGCTCAGGGGCCCACACAGCAGTCCCCAAGAAGCCCAAGGAATGTCAGACGGCAGCTCCCTCCCTTCTGACCTCAGGCGGCGAGCCAGTGGGGGGAGGGTGGCACCTACCTCCCAACAGCACCAGGACGCAAGCGTAGGGGAGCATGGCAGCCGGCATCCCGTCGGGGGTGGCAGGACGGCCCCTGGGGCGCATCCACGCTGCGTGGAGAGGAGGCGCCGGCACAGGGCTCTCAGGCGGCCCCGGACTGCGGCGGCCCGGCTGGGGTCCTGCGAAGAAGTCGCGAGGGTCCTGCGCCCCGCTCCGCGCTCGCACGCGCTCGCCCTCCCGGGCTGTTGATAGTTGTAAGGAGAGCAGCGCACTCATAGGTCCAACTTTCCAGAAGAGGTGGAGACAGCCCCCGGCCTTGTGCGCACAGCCTCGCAGCGCGCCCAGCCCTCTGGCGCAGCTCCTCCTGCCATTCAGAACCCAGTCGACCCCCCTCCGTGCCCTGGTTCCTCTCCCCACCAAGTCTCTGCATTGAGCCAGGAGGCCTCCCGCAAACTCTTGGCCTGGCCAAGCCAGACGGTGCGGTGCGCTTCTCCGCCAAAGCCCACCCCTATGCAGGTTGTCCCCTCCAAGGGCAAGGGGGTCGGGGGCAGCTCCTCTGTTCCCGCTGGGTCCTCGGACCCCCAAGGTTTCTCTTCAGGCCTTCCAGACACTTTCGGAAAAGTCGCGTCAACTTGGAGAGCAGGAGCGCAGTGAATGTGGCCAACCTGGGGCGCCCAGCAACCCACAGCCGCTCCCTGTAATTAGCTCTTCTCTGCTCCAAAGATCATCTGGGCAAACAGTGTGGAGCCGACCAGGGCGGTTCCCCACACCCCCAACTCCTCCTCCTGCCCCCACCCCTAAACCCCATCTGAGTGAGTCAGCTGAGGGTGGCTGCTCAGAGGCAAGGCAGCTGGGAGAAATAGCTGGGAGATGGACCGGTCAGGCCACCTCAGGGCCTGACCTCAGGACCTGGACTCCCCCAGGCAGCTCCCCAGTGGTAGGGAAGCCTTGAAGAACAGGAATAGCATCTGGGGAAGGAACCTCCCAAGTTACTGGATTTATGAATGAAGAAGCGACAGAATCACTTGGATTGGAGAAGTATAACTGGATTGTTCCCACCTGCGGGGATCACCAGGAGAACAGAAGTAAAGTCATGGGGGTGGGTTGGTGGGGGGCTGAGATGTGTAGATCAAGGTGTCCATTTTCAGTGTGTTGTCCTTAACAGTGAAAGAGGAAGAGAGTAGATAGAACCAAAAAAAGAGGTGAAAGGGAGGGCCTAGGAGGAGAGAGGGGGAAGAAAGATAAGGAAAGAGAAAAGGGCAGAGAGAGGGAGAGAGAAAGGCAGGGACAAAGAAATAAGGCAGAGAAGAGAGGCAGGCGGAAAGGCAGATGGGAAAGGGAGGAAGAAGAAGAGAATGAAAAAGAGGGAGGAAGAGAGGGGGAGGGAGAGAGATGGAGGATGTCCCTTGCGGAGGACTTGGGCACGTGGGACGTGTCTGTGCCCGTGTCGGCACAGGAGGTCGACCTGCCCTCTGAAGGGCTTATAGACCCACCTGTCCACACTTGTGGGCTGCTTGGCCCTGGGGGTCAGTAGACAGCACCCTGTCTTTTGATTTTTTACCCTGGGCCTCCGGAGCCCTTCAACTTCCACCAGGGAACCCCTAGCCATGGACCCCCCATCCCCGGGACGTCCTTAGCTTTTCTCTTCTCTGAAGGAACAGACTCGACAAGTGTGGAAGGAGGCCACAGCGTGATCTTACACAAATGGAAATGTGAGAGAAATGATCAATTCCCTTCCCGAAAATGACATTTTTTTCTGGTCTCTATGGATTGCTGAGAACAGCATGAGGCTCGAGGTGGCCTTGCTGAAGCCGAGATGCCATCAGCTCCCCGGCAGACAGCGGCCGCGCGCCACATATTAAGTTTTGGTGAAAGGGGTAACGTGGGCGGGGGGTGGGGTGTGATTATTTATAATTGCATAATGGTGATGTTTGTGGCAATTATGTGCCTTTAAATTTTAAAAATTTACAATTATGGGTAGTTTTAAAAGCTGCATGCTCTTTTGGCCATGACTGTTTGAGGCTGTACTTTCTGGGCTTCCTGCTTGCGGGCATTTTGCAGTCCCAGGTCGCTGATGGGGCTTTGAGTATGAATGGTTTGGCTTGGGGGGGTGGGTGTTACACTGATGTAACATGGGGTTATGGTTTGGTACTTTCAGAACCTACTGTACTGCTATTAGAAAACAGAACTTCCTTGCAAAGCCTGGTGCTCATGTATTAATTGTTATGTTGGCTTATTTATTTATATTGGCTTATTTATAAGAGGAATTGCTGGTAATTATTGCGACCTGGAGAAGGAAATGGCAACCCACTCCAGTATTCTAGCCTGGGAAATCCCATGGACAGAGGAGCCTGGAGGGCTACAGCCCATGGGGTTGCAAAGAGTTGGGCATGACTGAGCGACTAACACCCACATTGTGACCTTGGTGTGGTCCAGGTGCTTTTGATGCATAGACTTTATATCTGGACATCCTGATGAGAAGTAAGAAGTATTGTTGGCCCCATTTTACAGAGCAGGGAAACTGAGTTCAGAGAGGTTGGGCCACTGTCTCAAGGCCACAGGGCTGGAAGGTAGCAGAGCTCCTGAGTCCCTGCTTGTGTTTGGGATGCTCTGTGTCTCCATGGGATTCCCTGACTGACAGGGCTCTTGGTTCCATTCTGAATCTCAAGTTCCTAAGTGAGAAAGCCCATCCGATTAATATGAGAACACCCTTCCTTGGAAGAGGCTTAGGAATGGCAGGGAAGCCCTATTGCAAAGTGCTGCCTAGGTCTTAGCCAAACTCCTCTGTTGAGACTGAGAATTATAGGTGGTATCGTACTCGCCTAGCCTGACATGAACAGTGGGTGATGCTTGGAAGGATGGGAGAAGCTAGGAGGGGCCTTCAAGGCCCACTGGTGCTGCTCTCCTGGCTTTACAGGTGAGAAAACAGAAGCACAGGGTCAGATAAGTTCCCTGCTCAGTGCAGATTTTACTCCCCCAAAAAAGAAAGAAACTGAACAGTTAGTGTTTGAACAACCCTCTGGTCATAAGAAGATCAAACAAAAGAGAGAGAAGGAACCGAAGCTAAACTTACTTGACCTCAAACATAGATATTTATTTTTAACCCCCCAAAGTTGTATTGTCCAGACCTTGCATTTTGCTGCAGGAAGGGTGTTAATTGCTTGATTCCTGACCCCTTTCCTACCTACAGACCCGTCACCCAAGAACATTTGAAATGGTTAGTGATTATAAGGTTGTCTGGGGGAGAAGCAGGTTCTTTCTTGAGCCCCGACTCTGCTAGCCATGAGTCATGTCCCTGGGCTTTACCGTCAGCCTCTAGAGCTGACTTCTCTGGGTTGATCACTGCAGGGGTCTTCCCAAGTGGTCAGAGCTGCAAGAAGAGTGGGGGGACACAGGGCAGGCTTTCTGGAGCCATGCACAGCTGGTGTGAGGGAGGGGCCCTGAGCCAGACGTCCACCCCACCCTCCCCCCAAATCAAAGTCTGAGGCTGGCCCTATAGGAGAGCTTTGCAGAATGGGCCTCTTTCTTCCCTCCCCACCAAACACCTAACTCCTCACCCTCCTGCATATTAACAGCACCACGGGAAGATAAGATCACCCCACGAAATCTTGCTGTAAAATGGTCTGTTTCCCTTGCTCATTATCAGGGGTGTCTGATCAAAGAAATGGTGCCCGGGCCTGGTTATCTAATAACCCAGTAAACATCCAGGCCAGCTTCCCTGGTGGGAAAGGCAGGCGGGGGTTGCTCTGGATGAAGTGAGGAGCAAGTTGGACATGCTTCCCCCGACTTGGTGACCATCTCTGCCTGCAGAGCCTACACTGCCTGTCCTGGAGCCCCCCAGACCCTCTGCTTCAGATGGAGAAACTGAGGCAGGGAGCCTGTGTTCTTGTCCCCTGGGAGAGCCCTTGGTACCCCTGCAGTTGTCCATCTAGTCCCCCATGGCACTGGTATATCTCACCTTGTGTGTGATGGTAACTTAATACGTCTCGTTGAATGAATGAGCGAACGATCAAACACAGTATCACAGGATGAACACTGGGCCCTGTCGGAAGACTCTGTTGCAAATCTTTTTTTAAAAAAACTTTTTATTTATTTATTTGGCTGCTCCGGGTCTTACTTGTGACGTGCAGGATCTAGTTACCTGACCAGGGATTGAACCCAGGCCCCCTGCAGTGGGAGCACAGAGTCTTATCCACTGGACCACCAGGGAAGTCCCTCAATTGTGAATCTTAATGCTACCACTTAGCAGCTCACCAGGGCCATGGCCAGGGTGCGGGACTGGGGCTCGAATGCCGAGGGGCTGCTCACTCTCAGGCTATGGAGGTACAGGGTGGGTGCCTGAAGCTAAGCAACACCTACATTTTGAGCCCTGGGTGCCTCCCTGGCCTCATCTGGTCCTAGCCTGCAACTCCCCACCTCAGCTTCCTTCTCTGTAAAATGGGGATACTGCCCGTGCAACCTTGAAGGACTAAGATGCCAGTGTCTACAGGAGTAGACAGTGGGTATAGGATCCAGTCTTCTCAGGCCCTGAGACTCCCTGGAGGGCAGTCAAAGGTCACACAGCTGGTGTGAGATGGAGCCTGAATGAGAACCTGCTCTGGGGCTTGAGAGTCCTGCCCCTCAACCTGACTCTAAACTGCCTGAGTCCCGACTGACTTCCGGTTCACCAGCCTCTGGGGAGGTAGATTGTGAGAATGTCCTGGGATGCCCAGAAACCTCCCCACCAGCCCTCACACCTCAGTCTTCTTGCCCCATCAGGCTGTAGTAGGGGTAAGGGGACATTGGAGGGATCAACTCAGCACACTGACACAGAGGTGTTGAGTGAACACATTTTGGATGGATGGATGGATGGATGGATGGATGGGTAGATGAATGAGTGGGTGGATGGATGGATAGATGCAAGTTTATGTGGGGGGTTGGATGGATGGGTGGATGGATGGGCAGAATGAATAGCGTTACAGTTGTCATGATTGTTGTTCTGGGTGGTCCCCAAGCTGGTTTGTTGATTTTATCCTCTCATTTATTAATTGATTAGTAATAATTCACTAATGTACCAACTCACACTTGGA